ATCAATTCAGCAAAACCTGATGAGTGTTCTTGAACGCCACAGAAGCACGACCGAATGTGATCAGCGTTTAGGCATTTCATAGAAGCACGGTCAATGTTGATGGATGCTCGCTAAATGTCTATCAGATAGCCTGGATCATTGTCAGAAAGTCCCCTTTAAACTGCACGGGGCTGGTGTAACTTTTTGCACTCGCATGCACTCGTTTGCTTGGAATAAAGCTGTTGTGTACCCTTGTCGGTGAGTTCTTTCTGGCACCAGGCACCGGAGTTAGAACAGCAGTTAGACATAACATAACGCCTACCTCAACCCTGCGTTGATTGCAAGCGACCGAGAGGTGTAGACCTCGATAAGAAATACAAAAACAATAACCAATAAACTTAGTCGGGTGGGCAACTGCCACCTCCCTGAATGGGGACGCCGGGTCTCATCTCACCAGTGGTTAATGACACTGACAGAAATGGCCCAATCTCGCAGTCAGTGGGGTTTATGCATCAAAGCTATCGTCTAGCTGACAAAATGAATTGAAGTTGTCAATTCTCCTGATATCATGTTTTACGTAAAGGTAAGCTGACAAGTGATCAGAACTTAGGTAGCTGGCCGCTGCTGTTGTGAATTACGATTGTCATTACTCGAAGTGACGAAACTCTATATCTGTCCTTTGTGTACGTTTGGATTATTCCGTGTAAAGCTCTGTTTTGGGGAGTTGATGACAATTCAAACCTGAGTTAGCCGTTGACCTATCCTTAGTTTGTGAGTTACCACCTGCAGTATCCCGTCCTAGTTTCAATCGATGTGCAATCCTGTCTTTCGAGATTAAGCTGACCGTGTAAAATGAATATGTTGGTTGGGTTCATGTTCATGCGACGGTAATCTCAAGAATCTTAACCAGACCTTGCAAGTCCCTTCTGTAAAACGAAAACAGGTCCAAGTTTTGCAACCTATCTTGGATATTTCCGACGATACTTCAATTATTCCCATGCTAAACACGTCGCCGCGCACTTTCGGCCTTTCTCATCGGACGATGATGTTGGTGTCAGTAAACACGCAGCTAACCGATGAGGTATTGTTTATGTGCACAACCGAGGTTATGGACGTCAAAATGGTCATAAACCAGAGTACCCAACTGAAGACATGGTAGATCAGCTGCTTGACTCTGAGTACCTGCACTTATCAACGAAGATTCATCTCGATAACGAAGTGGTTCACAACCATTGGCAACTATTCTGGTGGACGGACGACTTTGATGATAAGAGGAGGCTAAAGACAGGCGCAAGTTGTTTGTTCAGTGCCTTCTCGAGAGCAACTGTGACACCTCTCTGTAAGACAAAACTGAGCCAGCGTTTTTTATTAAAAATAACACTCCCGTATTGTGGCTACACCCATGAGAAAGCTCCAGTGAAACAAATGTCTGGTTAGTCGCCGCAAACAAACGTAATAGCAACCAGCATACTATTGGTGCCATCTAAGAGGTTAAGGGGGTGGGCACAATGAATGGGTCTGATAACACTATCGGTCAATAATGATGGGGATTTGGAAATCATCCTCCAGCCTTTCAAGTGCAGCTCTAACTGAAGGCGAAATCAGGTTCCGAATATCCCATTATCAATTCCACATCTTAGTCAATGCTGCAAAGACCAATGAACCCCAATTGTCATCGAGCCAATCACATAATGGACCATTTGAGGATGAAAATATCCAAAGACCCAATCAAGCGTGCACAGAGTGGCACATGGTGCTCGTCGTCAACAAGAAACCAGTGAAGAATGTGATCGAATAGACAGAAAACTTACGAATTTTCCACAGTGGAGAAGCGGCGGTCTCGATGCGTCCCTGATAATAGACTCGAAAACCTAGGCGAGATTCTAGGGTTTAATAGAAGTGCGCAGTGTGGCCTCAGGTGTGTGGGTCCTGACTAGTACTCTTACGGTCAGTCCAATGGCATCAAACACACTCTAAAAAAACAGGGTTAGATCGTTGGACCAACCGAAGAACAACATTCTTGTGGAGGAAACTACTCACAAGGTTGCTGAAAACTCTTCGACAGCCCACGACGGGTTTCGCTCTTCTTGGGGCTCATCAGGCAGGCGCAATCCCCGGCCTGTGTGCAGCACACTCAGTTGAAGAACATCCTACACGAGAGATTCACTTGAGTCTCCCGTGAAAACCAGACTGATTGGCAAATGAGTGTATTTGTTGAGAACATTCTGGTAGCTTTTCGTGATACTGTGAAGCGCAATTTATTGGGGGTTATGTCGGATTGTTTAAAGCGAGCTGGTTTGTGATAGGAACGCCTTTGGGAGTGTTGCATAAAATCTTTATAGACGTAGTTCATTTTATAACCTCTTATTGTCTCGAAGTTCTTGTTATTGTGATGACGCCCTTAACTGTCCGAATGGTCCCAATGTGGATGAGTATCTTAATTTGAAAGTGACATTTTATTCGGAACTCAAGTAAAGATGATTACGTACCCCGATTATGCTTACTCGACGAGAATGTCGGTAAACCCTAGAATACCACTCAAGTTGAGATAACGCCAGAATTAACACTAAATATCGAGAACCAAACCAAGAATAACATATATATTGTACCGGGTGGAGGGCCAAATAGAGACGATGGGATCGGGAAGGCTTCCAAATATTGCGGGATTAAGTGGGGAATATAACTGCGGTTCGCTTGTCATGGGCTGTTTTTAGTCGGCTGCAAGGAATTCCTAATGTAGGGGCCGACGATGATGATGTTCTAGTTGGTCAACATCACCATCGCTGACAGTTATATCAGTAACAGAACGGTAGTGTTTAACCCCCGCGAAGCTGATATACCACAAGAAAAGCCAGCAAACTTGAGCGATGACTTTACGATTAGCCTGGCTGACCTGATTCGCCCAGTGATGGAGTAATCAAAATTTCGCCGGCGTCACTCATCTAAATGACCAGCAACTGAAACGCCAAATTTACGTCCATTCTAGCAGACGGAAGGAATTACGTAGATGGGCAGTGATTTAGATCCAAAGATGAAACTACTCTCAAGATCGCTGAAAACTCTGTGACAGCCCAGGACCGGTTTCGCTCTTCTCTGGGCTCTTCAGGCAGGTCAGTCCCCGAGTTTCCGTCAACCTTATATTCTACTTGAACCCGAATTGGACGTATTTCGATAAATAGTCATTTGCAAATCAATTCGGTTTTCACGGGAGTCTAAGCTAAATTTCTCGTTTATGATAGTATTCAACTGAATGTGCTGCACGAAAGTCACCTCGTGTTCCAGTTGGTATGATATCCGAGATATCGCAGTATATTTTCATAAAGGAAACTACTCACAGGGTTGCTGGGAACTTTTCGACAGCCCAGGGAAATGGGTTGCTTCGACTGTCTTACCGCTGTACATTACAAGGCCATACACTAAGTTAATTGAACAGAACAAGAATCTCTACCATCGGGGTACCGAAGGTTAGTCGAGGTGACTGAACACTTCGCAGATCAGTTCACGCAAAACACATTTGAGGCCGTTAGTATGTTTGTTTATCTAGTTTTGTGCTGATCCGCTACAAAAGGGATTTATTCAGGACGTCGTACGATACAGCGAGAAGAATTAGCACACCAAAATGAGATACCTGAGTGGTTACTTCACTTCAGCTGAAGAAGATGCGGATCAGTTCGACCCGAAAAGCATAAGTTTCTCTGAATATGAATTTCAGAGACGATATTAGTAGGTTGGTTGAGAAGTGTACAACCTGAACTATGCAGCAAAAGCTATGGTAATCTACAGCTGGAACCGAATCATGAATCTTGCAGTCAAAGTCCAACTACCTCAGTCCACCATCTACAATTCTGTTTACTGTCTTACGTGTGGGTGTCGGGCCATCTATTTTGACAGAGCTAGGGGACGACCTCGACCTAGACGGATGGAACAAACCCCGGCTTGGATACACCAGTGTATGAATCAATCCACTCCATCATACCCAAAAATACGAACTTAACTCAGGAGGCAAGTGCACGATTGATACGACTTTTATCGACAACACTTCACCTACTTGGAAGTGGACACCCAGTTGATCCAGCAGCTGCATTCAGCATCGCTTACAGGACTACTGACTGCAAAGTATTAAAGTTTGCCGAATCAAATTCTATCGGAAGATGGGAACCAGAACTGTGTAAAAAGAAGGAATCGATCATGGCCTTGGCACTCCTTTGATGATTGCTTTCGGCGACTGACATTGTTCTATGGTACGGATCCGAAAGGCTACAAACAAAGTACACCCGGTGTATCGTTCAAAAACTTCTGTGTGCCCTCCGTGTATGAACATCTAGAACCGGTGTACTTGAAGGAATTACAAGAAACATAGAAAGTTGCGTGGCAAAAATTCTAATCCCCCTGTGATAACTATTACGTGTACATTCTCACACTACAGCGAAATTTCCAAAAGTGTTGGGTGTAACACGCCAGAGGAGAATCACATAAGCATTAGTGAGTTTGTCCGGCAATTTCTTTTTTTTTCATTTTTGCTGCACACAACTGCAGATCCTATTGTGGTTCGCCTTTGATGTGCTAGGCTCAATTTTTATGGAAACTACACTCCAAAATGTTTATGGTGCAACAGTGATGTGTTGGACAGTAGTCTTGTCACTTTCACTCGAATGTATGTAGCAGATGAAATCCTGGCATACCATGAGACTTCTTCATTTTATCTTATTAAATCGCACCACCGAGAAATTTTCGCACTTGTCAGTTACAAGGTGAATTAGTTCAAGGGTGTTAGTATCACTATGTTATCACCACTATATATATATATATATATATATATATATATATATATATATAATCACTATATATTCCTACCAGTGTCATATCCGCAAATAGAACCTAACTGCGATTTCGACGCAAGAAGGTTTTGGCTTGTACGCTGGAAAATAAAACAAGTAGGAAGGTAGCTACGCAGGGAGTAGTTCCTCTGAACTAAGTTCAAAATGGTTAACGACAGTGCATTTCTTTGGTCCTGCTCTCACCGGTGTTGGGTTAGCCCGATTGAGCCAGTCGATCGGAAGGGTGAGATTCCAAAATGCTGGACCTCTTGCTCTGGACCTGTGAGAGTCGGCAGTGACTGACCGACCCTTGAATGAATATTTGTGTGTTGTTGCGTTGAATGGGGGACACTGGATTGGTGCACGCAGCCCAGGCTGTAAACACCTGATGGAGGAAGACGTGATCGACTTAACGACCGACCTTTCACACTTTGCTGTGATCCCGCACAGAATATGGAACTGGCCATTCTGTCACCCGATCTTCCACTGAGAGCTGCACGTGCCAGTCTGTCAACATGCTGTGCTAATGCCTACAAGAGAAAAGTACATGACATTTATTCTTGAGCTCGGAAATAAACTTTCAATCAAGCTGCGGTTCAAATCAGATTCTGAGAACTACGTCTACGATGAGCCTCAGACGGGACGAAATTGGTACAGGGCCATCTGTGGATTTTCGGCAGTCGTCTCCCACAGTTTCTATCAAACAGATGACATTTGTTTTAATATTGGACATGCATCAGACAACGCTTATAACAAAGTTAGTTTTTTCTTAGTCGATATTTCACCCTGTGAGTGCTGAAAGCTCAGGAAACACTATACGACTGTTCCGTTCTTATTGGGGATCAGCTACAATGCACGCTCACGAAAACCCAGGGAGATTCAAAACCGCAACTCTCCGGTAAGTGGTTGGGGTGTAAAAAGCCGGATCACGAGCAGCTGATCACCACACTCGCACTTAGACAAGATGTAGTGCCATTTATCCTTCATTCACGGATTTCACGTCATGTGGTTGTGTGTTGATGTAGTCGAATGCGGACTTCTCAAGTGGAAGGTTCACTCGTCATTGGAATTATTCTCCCTGCTAAGCTATGCAGTCTTCAACTACTAACCGGAAGGTTGCGATTTCGAACACCATGAAGAATCGTATGAAGACCTACTGACGACTCTTGATATGGATGAAACATTAGTGTAGTACTTTTAAGAAAAGCTTTACTTCACTCACAGTGCAAAATCTTGATTGGAAAATTCTTAAATCTTCTCACACTGCCAACAACGCGTGTTTCGATATGAAAACACTTAGATACAAGCGAAGATTATCATGTTCGTATTGAACTAAAACAGACGAACCAAGTTACTTTTACATTTATGCGTTTTCTCTATGGAACTTTTACCTGTGATCAACAATTTCACAATTTACTCGTTATTTCAAATTCCGCAATTGGACACAAATTAATTCGTTGACGGAGGGCAAACAACCGACTCAAAATTCATCAGTTGGTAGCAGCATGAGAAAAACGCGTACACCAAGAGCCAATCTGGTTGTTTACGTTGATGCAATGCGTAATTTTTCGTTGACGTCCAACTGGAAGGTCGGTTGTATAGGACTGGTTAGGCTAGAAAAATCCGAGTAGATCTAATCCAATCTCACTGTTTAGCATGGAGAAAACAATGCGAAAATAAGGTGCAGATCAGTGGTTCATCAAAGTATCAGTTGAGAGAAGATGCAAGAGATCCCGTTTTGCATGGAATCACAACTCCGCCGCATCTTCAAGACGCGAGCATTTCGCTCAATATTCCGATCATCCAATCAGTAAGTTGCACTGCTCCACGGATGCACTCACACACTCACCTACTTCTGGCATAAGCAAGGTTGCGGGAACAACAACAAACGCCGCTCTTCTTCGAGTTTGGTGATGTGTGACAGACAAGTGCAGATCATCAGCCCAGTCACACTCTACCTCAGTCACGAAAACACATCGGTACAGCTGAGTGGGGCTAGTAGGGGGCGCACAGTACACCGATTCTCTTGAGAATGTGAGACAGGCAGGTTGGTCAAGCTTCAACAAGCGGAACGCCCATTTTGACGACGAGCGCTCACTAGCAAGCATAGGTGGCGAAATTCACTCGAGTTCGCCAACCCAATAATCGATACATATTGGTGGTCTTCATGTGCAGTCAGAATACGAAGAACGAGCTGTCAGAACTGGCAGGAAGAAGAGTCTCATGTGAAACTACAAGGGCCCGGGAGCCGGAGAAGCCACGCACTCAGTCGGTCGAAATTTCGTTTTAAGTGTTGGTCATTGTTCTTCAAATACCACTGATGTGAGGGAGTGTAGCGGCACCCTAGCTAATAAATTAGTTCGGTCGCCGTACGTTCAACCTTGAGTCACAAACCTCCAGCTACCTTCTTTTCATGACTTCAAACTGGGAACGCTTTCGGTTTCGTTAAACCTTATCCACAAATTTTTTTATTGTACATGTTATTCCCCACTGGATTTACTGTTCCACTGGATTATTCCCCTGCTTTTTTGGAGAAAAACAAACTACCGTTTCATAGTTAGGTTACTGAAACAGATCTCTGAATGCAGTGGCCGCTCCAAGAGCGTCTCGCTTTATTTTTTAAGTAGCGGATGCCTTTACGCAGGCATTGACTGGTGCATTGCATATTAACAGACGACTAAGACCCTTTCTATCTAACTCTACCCACCCGTGTTGATTCTTTCCTTCTAATCTCATCGTGTACAACGTGATTTCCCGTTTTGCTGTTTACTTTCTGCGCCTAAACCACCTTTCTTGTAAAATTTTACGATTTTATTATTGCATTAATGGTACCGCATCTGATGATAAACCTCCATTTGAACTAGTTGACATTTGTGGTTTTGCGCGTTACTCAACGTGGCCTAACCGATTGCTGGAACGATCAGTAGGTCGTACTAATTACCTGCGTACATGACTGCCATCGTCCCTATTTCACAATCTTGCGTCAGCTGTAACCACTGCACTTTGATGCACTGTTGACATCTAAACAACTAAGTGCCCGAGAGAAGGTTTTGGTCTACTGTGCCAGTATTTAGCCTCACGTAAAATTGGGGCTGATGAGCGATCGAAGGTAAGTAGGCTGCCAAAGCCATCTTACGTTATATTGTACCTACATCGGACAAAGATTATCCCATCTGTTATCTGTATAAATTTATTCAAACACTTAATAACTAAGTCAATGGTTTGACTGGCCGTATGGTAGGCAGTTTAAACTTGGGACGGCTACTGGTCTATCCCGATTTCGTGAGCGGTGACCAGCAACGTTGCTTGCTAATAATCGACCGCCCCGATTTAAGCCGGTGTCCACTTATATCCACTGGGGTTAGTTTGACTTAAAAGATAAAAATGAGGACAAGTCTAAGGTTCTTGTGACCACCAATAACCTAGGGTTTTAATTGGACCTCGTAGAGTATCTCCCTTATCAAGTAGAAACAGATGCAGCTGTTGTTGCACTGGGACTTCTTTTTTTTTTATCCGCCTGTTGCCAAAAGTCACGAGGACTTTTCAATCAGATGAAAACGGATTGAGAAGTCATCGTTTCAGAAGGCTTGGTAAACTATCGGTAGTCTTTATTTGGGCTACGTTTCGCTTTTGACACAAGAGCTTCATCAGGCCAAATAAACGGGTCACCACGTTGGCAAGGTTTTGAGGCGGACGGAGAACCAATCAGTAAGTCCTCTACAGATTATCACAATTAAATCAGTGTTGTGTCAATTAACGGCTCTTGTCGGCTAGTGTGTTCGCCTAAAGCTTGAATTGATGGGTTGAAGGAGTTTCAAATTGTCGTTTCAGAAGAACTTGATAAACAATCGGTAGTTTTTATAAAGACTACTGATTGTTTATCAAGCTCTTCTGAAACGATGACTTCTCAATCGGTTCCAAACCTTTTCCAATTGAGTTTCAACTTAGTTCCGATCGGCTCTTGTTCCTTAATCTTCCACTTTAGAATGCTTCAACTGATGATGAACCGCGGTTGCCGCTGATAGATTTTGTTGGTCTTTGTGAGGTTGAGTGCTGTGACAATTTAGTTGGGGGGGATTGAGGTCAAGTGAAGTTCAGATGATGACTCTTCCTCCTTTTGATGACCGCACACCAACACGTGTCAGGTCGACGGATCCCAAAAACGTTGTCCAAATATAAAGACTATCGTAGTTTACCCAGCCTTCTGAAACAGTCTCCAGGACTGGCCTGGCAACAACAAACAAGCGTTCACGCCCTAAAAGTGGAAGTCCTTGCCGTAGGATTGAATGAGAATGACTGTAGTCCGTCACACGATGCCATGTTCTAGGTCCGTTGAAGTAACAAAAGCTTGCTCATGGATGGAGGCAGATTCTCCGCATGTCCCTTTGTCTAGGAAATTACATTACGCTTACATTACACTAATAGTGCACTGAAATGAATTACTAGTTGGTCGAACTATGGTCGCTGTTTATTTGACTATTTCCACGGACGACTATTAAATATTCTTCGCAGTTGGCAAAAAAACATTTGAAAATTTATGGAAGAGATCAAACAGATACGTCCAGTTTTATTGTTGAATTATGTCACCGTGCAACCAATAAGGCCCCTGGAACTGCATTTGAAAAATTAGTTTGATCTGTGCTGCTCCCAAGCGCTTGTAGTCTCAGAATAAACTTTCCTTCCTCTCGATCCCCCAATTTAAAGTCCATTGACAGACCTGTAGCTACTTATCAACATAAATGCGCAGTTCTTACATATGATGATGATGAGGATGATGATGATGATGATGATGATGATGATGATGATGATGATGAAGTTGGTGAACTCGAGTGAATTTCGCCACCTATGCTTGCTAGTGAGCGCTCGTCGTCAAAATGGGCGTTCCGCTTGTTGAAGCTTGACCAACCTGCCTGTCTCACATTCTCAAGAGAATCGGTGTACTGTGCGCCCCCTACTAGCCCCACTCAGCTGTACCGATGTGTTTTCGTGACTGAGGTAGAGTGTGACTGGGCTGATGATCTGCACTTGTCTGTCACACATCACCAAACTCGAAGAAGAGCGGCGTTTGTTGTTGTTCCCGCAACCTTGCTTATGCCAGAAGTAGGTGAGTGTGTGAGTGCATCCATGGAGTAGTGCAACTTATGGATAATTTGGCGAAATTCAGCGAGATTCGGTGGAGACACAGCGGGGTGGCTGGTGAATAAATATAAAATGCTAATTACCACGACGGGTGTAAATTTATCAATAATTCACGTTTACTTTAGGATAGTGGAAACAGTAAATAATTTCCTTATGTATATATCAGTGTCCGTTTGTTTCTATAAGGCGCTAATATTTTTACCCGTATCAACTTACTTCTCGAGTTTTCATAAAGTTTAGGTGTTTGCGGCACAAATGTACACGATCTCGGTTTAATGCACCTAAGTATTCGTTGAATTTAGATGTTGATAGGCGTGTTTGATCAATGTTTATATTTCTTTCGACCAAGTGTTCATTTAGAATCCTTTCAACTTCATGTCTGAGTCCTTGGATTGTTTGCGGATCTGTCCTCAACTGCTCCAGAAGACGACGGTGACGCAGAAGGCTGCTGTCCAAATTCTGATTTGACGGGTGGGCTATAGAGGTATAAAAAGAAACAATGTGATGTCTTGCGAAGCTAACAACTATCTGGATGTTAAATCTTTTAACATTAGGAAAAAGCACATCGGTTATGCATCCAAGATACTAGCACTAATAAGTGAACCTGAAAAACGAGTCAACTTATCTACGAGATGCTAAGAAAGTTGAAGAATATTTTCCTGAGAAATAGGATCTTAGAGTGATAAACATGTGTCGATACTAGTCTTTTATGGCTTCAAATAAATACTCAACATATGAAAACTTTTGTATCAGTTGTCCCGATACTAGCAGACAGGCACAACTGAACATTATTTTTAACAATTAGGAAAATACACGTTGACCAAGATATGATGAGTGGCCATGGATTTTAATACTTCGTATCAAATGAGCCAAAAGCGCATAAAAATAACTATAAAGAATAATCGTTCATTAACAGTTGCTGTCTATTGGTGCACATTATTTGTCTCTCTCCGAAGCAGCAACTTCCAGAAGACAACTTTTCCTGTTCGAATAATTTTCGGGGGACAAAACGCGGTATCTTGTGTGCATGACCCTCCGAAAAGATGGCTCTTCAGGGCGTGGGAACTGGATGTGATGACTCTTTTTTTCGAAGCACTTCAACACAACCAGAGATCTCGCTCAAGACACGGAATGTTCAATCTTCCTTCTTCCTCCAATTAGTACACTACCTGTTATGAACTAAGGACTTCCCATATGGTTTGGAGCGAGTCGCTTTATTAGCTTTATATATACTATACATTTATGTGTCGAGGGCGACCACTGTCCTGGCGGACCGAACAACTCCATAAAAATTCAGGGTGGAGGAACACGCGCCCTGTCAATAAAACGTCTAAGTATATTACTGAACTATATCGTGATGGAACACAATTGACTGTATTACATAAATAGTGGTTCACTTTGGCCAGTTGCACGTTACATGACAACCCAGTGTGAACGAAACTGCACAAATGTGAACAAAGTGCACGTACTCGATGCGCAAGTAGTTGTAGGTAACAGCACAGTAGAATCAAAAACTGGCTCGTGTTTGTTTTCACCCCCACTGTCTTCGTAACCCAGCAGCGCTTTTTTGAAGGTTTTCCGTGTATTATCGAAAGCAGGTCGATCAGTCTCTACGGGGTGCATCTTTAATAGGTGATAGATTGAATCACCATCAAACGAGGCAGAAAGGTGCTCAGATGACTGTCGAGAGAACTTGGAGATTTTCGGTTCTGACCTCTCAAACATCCGACCCATAGAGGCCTGAATTTGGGATCGATCACAAACAATTGGGTGCTCTTGAGGTAAAAGGTTAGACGGCAGACCCGTTGCACTGACACCAACACGACGAACAGACAACTAGTTTAACATTAAAAAAACGTAAGATAAAATGATGAAATGTCTGTCGCATAAGCGGTTAGAGAAACGAAAACTGTAAACTGCTTAACCAACGAAAAATACCAATTGTACTGACCGCTGAGTCATCCTTCCGGTGAGGTGCAACACAAGATGCGTTTTCAGAACATACGAGTGGCATAAGTTGTATACTCGCAGTCGTTTCGCTTTTTCCTCTGTGGGTTTGCTCAGAAGGTATCTCCTCATCATCAGTCCTCACAATGACGATCTCACGTGAAAAACCGTGGAAACGGTCTGTTAATTGCTTTACTGTGGGGGATGGCGATCTGTGCGTTGCGGTGGAAGATCCAGAACGCGAATATTTACGTCTCACTTTAAGGAAAATAGAGTTATCTTGCATTCCATTCGTACGAATAACACTCCGTCCCTCCGACACTGACAATTTGGAATTTTTCTCCAGACCTACTTGAATAGCTGTCGAACGAATACGTTTCCGAACATGTTTTGTTTTTCTACACGTGAACTGGTTTTTGTAGGCACACTTGAGCCTCTTATTCTTTTGGCATTTTCTCACGCCTCCTAAATTAAGTAGGCATTCATCCAATTCATCCTCACATCCATCAACAAATGACGGATTAGTACTTCGTACTCTCAGCGAACGTCGCGTACAGTCGCAAGGAGAGAGTGCTCGTACAGGGACCGTGATGTCGCTCTCGGCTTTGTCATCACTATCCTCCGGGATGATATGTGGTCCGTAAATAACGTTTTCCTGAATAGGTATCATTTGTTTTAGTCGGAAAATTGGCACTCTCTGTTTGGAATGGAGGGGCATTATGTTACGGTGATCGCACGTCTTGAGGGATCCCATCTCCAGTGTTGGAGACGCCAACGCTTCATTTTCGTTTGTGATTGTTGGTTCAGACTCACTTTTCTGCCCTTTTGAATGCATAATACTGTAGGGTTGGTGGAAGGTTTCATCTGGACTGACGCTCTGTTCGAAAGTATGGAACAGATTAAGGTAAGAAATCCTAAATGAATAAGAGCAGATAAGCAGAATGGGCTCCTATTCTGCCTCTGATGTGAAAACGGTGGCAATTTTTTCGCGGTAAACCTACCCATTATCAGAACGTTCAAGAAGAAACCACAAGGAGTTCAGCATCAAAGAGGTGTTTCTGGTGACAGAAAACTTGTCCTAAGACAGTAACCCCTGAGGAAGTAGGTTACATGCTCACAGTTAAAAAGGAGATACTATCTGGTTGGCCGCCAGCTGATTAACTCCCAGACAAAAAAAAACTATGGAAATGACAAACAACTTTTTACTGGTTGTTAAAACAGGAAGTACTGATAAACTACTCACTACACCACCAGGCTTCTGCTGAATGAAATTCAGCTTAGTTGATATTCAGCCTTCATGCCTTTTATCGGTGGAATTAAATTTTATTCATCAGTACCTATAGCTACACTGTCAAAGTTTTTTGAATTTATTAGCCTACACACGACTTTGTACGATGTGTAAAACATCAAAAAATTGGTATACATTTAATGCGCAATTATTTTTAAACGGTCCTAGGGACTTACTGCATAAGAAGACGATCTGATACGGAAAAAATGTTTCAATTAAAGTACCTGGGGTCATTCAAAAGTTTAATACTGCGCAGCATCCTGCCATTTGGGGAAGTAAAATAAGACAAAACTGACTTTTATTGATCAAATTCAGATTCAGTTCACCCATTCAATGTACGCCAGCCGCAAAGGTACAAAATAACACGCTAAATGTAGGAATATTATTTCTTTCGGCATGAGTGGGGTCCACATCGCTGAGCGCGGAACCTCTCGATATACTTATCACCTGCCCTCCAGTAATAGAAAGAGCTTCCGCTAAACAGTTGTTGCGTGCTGGAAGGTCATCGTTTACAATTTTATTAGCTGTTGGTTTTTGAATAATAAACTTCCTTATATCGACAACCACACTCATTTGGAAATCAAGTTGGTTTTCACGACAGAATAAGCTGAATCTCTCGTTTACGATATTCTTCAACTGAATATGCTGCACAAAAGCCACCTCATTTTTCAGTTAGTACGATATTCGAGATATCGCAGTATATTTTCATGAAGGAAACTACTCACATGGTTGCGGAAAACAATTTGGGAGATTAAGCTGAATCTCCCGTGAAAACCGAATTGATTAAAAAATGAATGTATTTGTCGAAATCAAGTGGAACACAAGGTTGACAGAAACACAGGGACTGCGCCTACCCTGATGAGATCCAAAAAGAGCAGAACCGGTGGTGGGCTGTTGAAGAGTTTTAGCAACCATGTGAGTAGTTTCATTTATCTGGTGAGCCCAAGCTGGTTCTTCAAACGTTTTCCCACGTTATTTGATATTTGATAGTCGTTCGTACTACTCTCTCATTTGTTTTTCCATAAAATGTATATGTTCTTAGGACACTTTAGAACACCTCGCTGAGAGTTGCTGAGAGAGCTGAGAGATTTTGGAAAAACATTCGTTTATGGTGAAACACTGGGTGAGTCTCCTGCTTTATAGTTAAAAATGACTGTCTTAAATAAGTCGATATGTCAAATGTTAGGCCATTAATTTGATCTTTTTTCTTGTTCCCTTGAAAGTCAAGTGAACAACGAAAACTTAGGTGAGTATAAAATTAGGTGAGTACAAAATTTCAAAAATAACTTTGCTCATTCTTTTTGGTATTCACTCACCCAAAGCAATTTTCTTATTGCTGGTTACTGCAGAAGAAAAATCGGTACCGCTTTCTACTCAGGCATGCAGGCGTATGAAAGACAGGTACGAACCAAGGACCAATTCGCAGCATGAAACACTACTCATTTGATTGCTGAAATAAATTCTGACAGCCTATTACAGTTTTTTCTGTTTTGGGGCTCGTTACGTAAGCGTGGTCCCCAAGCAGTGTTTTCCTCCAAGAGAACATACTGCAATATCTTGAATATCCTGCCAACTGAAATATGTAACGGTCTGTGCCTCACATTCAGTTGAAACTATCATAGATGAGAGATTAGGTTGGGCCCCTAGTTGATAACAAATTATTTTCCAAATGAGTAAATTTCGCTGGAGGTAGAGTACTTTTACCTATAGGTACAACAATGGACCATGGCTACTAACAAAAATGCAGTGCTTAGCCATTCCTCTTGGAGCTGCGACACAGACATTTGAGTTGGAGTAAGCGGGATACCAATTAGGTAGCGCGCGCAAACGGTAGGGACATTGCAGAAGCATACCCGATCTGGTCAAGCAAGGAGTCGACAGTCTGCAATCGGTAATCATGGGCAGACGCTTGGCTGCTCCTATGGCACTGGAACTGCAAGTGCAAGTCAGCAACAGTATGGGTCAAAAGACTATTTTGATTGGAGTCCCAGAGGAAGTTATCAATAGAGCCGCAGCATGGTATAACAACAAAACTAAGGCGTTCAATGGAAAACCTAACTAATGGAGTGGAATATTTTAAGCCCTTCAGAATATCCGAAATTCAGTCTGCTAGCTAGCAGCTACTAGCCGTCTTTGGAAAACCCAAATTATTCTTCAACTGACTGCTGTGGGATTCCTCCAATTTGCTTCCAAATTCCAAAGTATTTTCAAACAATTGGCATAATCCATCCGAGTGTTAGCAGTCGGTAAAAACAGCTTATTTTGACTTTTCACCGGTTAATCCATGTGCCTGCAGGAGGTAATATGAATGGTCGGACAGCAAGCACCCAAGCCGTCAGACGAACCAGTGAGTCTACTGATTAAAAGGAGAAAACTGATTTAGCCACGCTGTGCGGAGATCCTGTCCACAAAGCACGGAGAAACAGTCCACCAAACAGTTATGCTCGGAATTTTTCACAGCAGTAAGCACTGCGCAACTCTCACATAAAGGGTTACTGAGGCATTCGAACACTCCTGGACGTGCGCGACCTGGTCATTTCGGGAGCTCATGGTAAATAATGTCCCAATTTGTGGGTCCATAGTACCTGCCAGAGAATCATACAGAAAACGTGCAAGAGGGATTCGCTAGCACATCATACAGCTTCATCGGGAGGGGGAGAACGAGCAAACGCTAGCGCAAGCAAACGACGTCAACTACTACATTGGGTCGTTCGGATCGCTGAGCACACTAGTTACGCCGCTCAAGTTTGACAACGTTAGCTTGCTCAGACATTAAAATTCAGATACGTCCGGTCTTCGTTGACGGAGTAGTAGTAACACGCTCAATCTGGATGCCTGATGTCCATGGTTCAACTCTCAGCACGACCAGAGGTATACAAGCATTGCTGGTGAACTCCAACAAGTGCGAAACCTGAGTTCAACGCATCCACTCTTTAATGTGGACCCATTAGTATGATCGCGCCAGCCCATGAAGAGGGGCATTCAAGCGAGTGTGATGTGAATGCGAAAAATGACCAAAACGCCTATTATTCGGCACTTGCTTGTGCCGAAAAGGAATATCTATCCAAAGGATGGAAACGCTTGATGACTGGAGAGCAAGTTGACAAGATACTGGGTTTAGTCACTTATAGACCAACTGTGACGTATGGAGAAATTCGAATTCGCGCGTATATGGAGAAGGAAGCTCATGATCCTGGCCTCATTACCGAGGGGACGAATTGTTCACGGACAAAAGTCTTTTACAAGTCGTTTATCCACGGTCTGCTGTAACTTGCAACTGACGACAAACATTTTGTCTAGATGACGGAGTCCAACTTTAGCCGGTCCTGTAGATAAGGTCGTGGGCGCTCGCTTCGTGCCGCGAAAGCCTGCATAAAACAGGCCAAAACAAGGAGTTGAATTTTGATACAGTCGGAATCAAAGGCCAAGAAAGGGCTATCATTATGCAGAGTAAACATGGGTCACACAAGTAAACAATCTACCCAGAAGTCCATTGGAATGTTAAGTGAGCTGAAACGCCAAAGTTACCTAGTGGTGTTGCGTGAAAATGCACAATTTTACTCCAGACTGAGAAGTCTGTGTCGGAGTGAAGCTTACGAAGTCACCGTAGTATTGAGACTTAATCCGCTTGTCGAAATATGGGTAGCTCGGATGCTACTCGGTGTTATTGATCATATCAGTAACTACCCGATGATCAAGTGATAGACTTAGTCCAGATTCACATTTGATATAATCGACTGAGTTCATATGGTGAGTTGTGTGGTGTAGTTGAATGATTCCCTCAGCTGTGCACTGACGAAACTCCTCGGCTGGGACGAAACGTTTGCAAACCGATAACCAAGCTCGGTAAACAGATCAACAACCGTTTGATCAAGCACCAATAATTGTGCGGCAGAATTATGATATGCTCCTGGTCTGGAATGCCGCACTCAGGCATTTGGGCGGTTTTATGGCGAGGCGAATGGTGGCATTACTGTAAAAATTCATCCCTTTGTGTATAGATGTACTTTTCAGACTGCTTAAAGGAAACATATATTTTGCCTCATTATTCTCTCTGTTTACCTCGGGTTGGTGTTGCGCACCTCTCAGTGCAAGCGGATTGATATCGTGCACAATCCTAACCGTAAGAAGGTGTGAGGTCTCCCAAACGCTCCAGTCTTCATTTACTCACTGAAAGTGGTGACAGACAGGTGGTGAAATGAGTGTGAATTTCATTTTATCGGGCATTCGCTATAGCCGGTTTTCAGAATTGAAATTGCATCCAGGCCACCTAATTCAAATTGTGTCAATAAGCAATTGTTTCAGACGTTGGTATTTCGACCGATCATTATGGTGATAATGGGAGGAGTACGACTCCATTAGCAATGCACGTTTGAAAGTTGCAATCGCTGCTTTTAAATTTTTAAACAACACCGGGGCCAGAACAAGCTTTTTCGCTTCTCCTACCTACATAAAAGGGCAACTTATATCTTGTTCATAGCCTGTGGAAAATGTTTTTTGTCAAAAGTCCCTGAAACACTTCATGATGGCTGCAATTATTCCCTCCAGAATTCAAGTGACTTGTGACAGGTTCTTAGTTATTACTGTCTCTGAAAATTTTAGGTTTCACACTTATTCTCCCACAAAGCTTGAAGACACCGAATATGCTCTCATCTATCATCCAGTTTGATATTGGTCGGAACCTTTGTAAGAAAGTCATAAGTATCTTAGGCTGTCGGGTTTCAGTGCTCTCTTCATCCATACAACATTCGCCTTAGAATCCTAATCATGCGATCAGCGTGTGGCGCAGGCGACAAAATGGGTCGGTATGTGCCAAATTAGTGGAAGTAATGCGTTGGTAGTCTTTGGGTTTGCAAAAAATGTCAGCTTTACACAATTCAAATACAGACTGAAACTATGGTGCATGAGTGGTAATGTGTTGGAATATTGGTAGCTCTGGTGCACTAGTTGGTAATTGATCAGGAAGCTGTTGATCTGTTTGCCGAGCTTAGCAATTGATTTGCAAACGGTTCGTCACCATTTGAGGGGACATCTTCAGTGCGCTGTTAGGTGGGGCACTGAGTGTTGAGATTGGGAGTGGTAGTTACGTCCAGCTGCGCGGTGCTGACTGATGAAGAATGTGGTCAAATTCAGCGAACACTCCAAAAGGACAACTGGAACGTCTATCAGTATAATACCTGTACACAGTCGGTCAGGACACTGAACAAGTCTATGGACGTCTTTTGGGTATCTCGACGAAGGGCACTTGAGGCTAACCAAATATTCTCTGCTTAATTGATGGAATCTTCCAAGCAGCAACCGGATAGCTAAGTAATACCTGGTGCGATGGCATTCTGGAGCCCCAAAAAATTAAAAACAGTTATATACAGCAGGCGTATTTCAGTTGTTATTGGTCCCACACTTGCTGGTCTTTTATCGCTGAAGTAGAAAAGACCGAGATTTGAGGATAGGTTTCGTGAATGCATGTTCTTATTTGACATCTTCCAAACTATAGGACGATTATGCGAAAACTCAGCTGTTTGAATGTATAGTAGCGTGAAGCTGCGTTTTTAACACAGTGTGGGACATAAAGCGTCTAGCTTAAGCTTACTTCCTTTACGGTGGCTTCATAATCAGTTGGCGCGCCTTTAGTTGGGTGCTTCTTCGATGAAACCTGGATAAAATGTAGAGAGAGGACAATGTAAGTGCATATGCTGAACATAAATCTTTGGAAATAGATTTAATATGCAAGTTTTAAAAAGATTTACTGAATGTTTATAAAAATGCTTGTAGGTAGCGAGGTTCAAAAGGGTAATTCGAGGCATTGTGCAGCAGAAAACTGGCTGCTAACGCCTCATGAAATTTTGATTGCTGATCAGAAATTTACGTGAATTATCCAGACAAATGCAGTAGGAATCTTGGGTTGAACTGCAGTTTTTCCGGCTTTTCTTACTTAAAAATTCGAGAAATCGGGCTGAGCTGAAAGCACGGAGTAGAGTACGAAAACTCGACTTCACCGAAGACAGGTTTTAAAACAAACAAATTTCAATCACTTTCAAAAATAAATGAACGGTGCGCACTTTCTAGGTATTGCTTTCTATGCACCTTGTTAGTCACGTTAATACCCTCGAGGGTGTCATCACAGGTTCTGCAGACCTGTGCGTATTACAGCAGCGTCAATCATGAATGAACGTCACGAAACGGAGCGACCCTCTTATGTTCACTAGTACACACGGCCAAACACCATGCCACAAGCAAGACGAAAGCATGTGAGTGAGGTAAATAATAATGTCTAACATATTTATAATATGTTAGGAGTCAGGTGTTTGCGGTGAACCATGTTGTGTTAGGTACAGAAGAAATAGTGAATGCACCCTGAAGACATCCTACAACCTTCGGTTGTTTTTCTTCCTGCTTACGACTGAGCAATCATATCTTGAAAATTCTGATTCCATATTTATGATTCTATCTAACACTTTCAATACTACATATTCTGACCTGTCCATAGGAGTCCTTCCTCTATTCCTGACAACAAGTATAATAAACAAAAAGTTTATTATGTATCTTATCCGTAACACAAAATATAGAAGTAAACTCTGATATGACACCAGCATAGCTATTTGGTCGAAGGCCAGTTTGACTCAAAGTCTCAGGGCTCACTAAATCCACTCATCTAGTTTTCGTTTGTATAGCTCGTCTTACTAAGTAATGTTTAACTATGAGTTGAATACAATAACACTGTAAAGGCATGACACAAACACACAATAAAACTGCTACAGACCATACTTTTACTTTACGTGAATCCGAAGGTGAAGTTACTGACTGACATAAAAAGTCTTTAAAAAAATCCTGTGTCAGCTAAACCCTACCACTTTCATAATCATATCATAACGAGGGAGGAATACTCAAATCAGAGTGGTATGCCTAAAAATTCGGGAAACCCTGAACCCATTTATCAGCAAAAGTGTTTGCTTCGGCAATGTCAGTTAAATTACTACCCTTAGAAAATACGAGACTTTCAAAGTGGGAATGGTGACCGGAAGAAAACTTGTTTTGTGTGAAAGCCGAAAAATTCACCACAATCCACACGTTTATCACTTGTTATGACTCGCTTTAGGTAGTAAGCTCGGACGGTTCTCATGTTTTAACCTCTTAGTCACCAAAAGAAGTTTGCAAGAAGCTTCATAGTGCAGGTAGAAAGATCAACAATATCCCTACGAAAAGTATAAAAAGCAGGTGTGACAGTTTGCATTGACTGCGATCTGGATACGAAAACATGAAACGTTTGGGGTGTTCAATGGAGATAAGATCAATCCACGGCAGATTAACTCAACAGTTTAGGTTTGAAAGCGGCCACGAGGTCAGTTGGACATATCACGCCAAAAGTGTCTCGAGAAACACTAACGGTGTAATCAGTTCTACCCATCATTTGACTCCATCCTACTTAAACTCTGCACTCGAACCAGATTAAAGGGCTAGAAACATTAATCAGTTGCCTGGGAACATTACAAACGGGCGATTGAGCTGGTTTCCAGGTGAGTCTCTCGAAAAACCAAATTTGTTTGCGAATGAGTGTATTTCTCTAATTTCGTGCAATTTGGTTTCAAGCAGAACATAAGATTGACGGAAACTCGGGGACTGCGCCTATCTGATAAGCCCCAAGAATGGCGAGATCGGTTATCGGTTGTCGGAGAATTTTCAGCAACCTTACGATTATAGTATTACAAATATACATGTATCGCGATTTCTCGAATATCGTAGCGACTGAAACATGAGGCTGCCTGGTGAAGCAAATCCAGTTACCTGGAAACATCACAAACGAGCGATTCAGCTGTGTTCCAGGTGAGTCTCTCGAAAAACCAAATTTGTTTGCGAATGAGTGTATTTCTCTAATTTCGTGCAATTTGGTTTCAAGCAGAACATAAGATTGACGGAAACTCGGGGACTGCGCCTATCTGATAAGCCCCAAGAATGGCGAGATCGGTTATCGGTTGTCGGAGAATTTTCAGCAACCTTACGATTATAGTATTACAAATATACATGTATCGCGATTTCTCGAATATCGTAGCGACTGAAACATGAGGCTGCCTGGTGAAGCAAATCCAGTTACCTGGAAACATCACAAACGAGCGATTCAGCTGTGTTCCAGGTGAGTCTCTCGAAAAACCAAATTTGTTTGCGAATGAGTGTATTTCTCTAATTTCGTGCAATTTGGTTTCAAGCAGAACATAAGATTGACGGAAACTCGGGGACTGCGCCTATCTGATAAGCCCCAAGAATGGCGAGATCGGTTATCGGTTGTCGGAGAATTTTCAGCAACCTTACGATTATAGTATTACAAATATACATGTATCGCGATTTCTCGAATATCGTAGCGACTGAAACATGAGGCTGCCTGGTGAAGCAAATCCAGTTACCTGGAAACATCACAAACGAGCGATTCAGCTGTGTTCCAGGTGAGTCTCTCGAAAAACCAAATTAGTTTGCAAATGAGTGTATTTCACTAATCACATTTGCTTTTTGTTAATATATTAAACAGCAGCCTTACCTTAACCGACGGAATCCACATATGTAAGAAAAATTAATTGATTATGACCTACCTTGGCGGCGTCATCGACGATTTCACCCACATCGGACATTGCTGAAACGATAGATAACATATACTAACAAAAGCAGATAAGAGGGCTTTGTCATTATAGCCTGCGTTGATAGATATGTGATTTACGTGGATTTTATCAGAAGCATAAGCATAGAACGTAGACGGTTATGTATTTTCAAAACTGACTTGGGTTAGTCAGAACATTAGGAGTGCCAGATAGTATTTACTGGTAATCGTTACGAAGTTACATGAAGTATTACACTAACACAGCGACCCAAAACTCCCAGCGAAGCTGTAACTGTCTTAGGAATGTTAAAATACCTCTAAGAAGAAACGCCACCTGGAAGCTTCCAAAATTTTCTTTTTTTGAGGTAATGCCTCCTTGGAGGTCGAACTCAAAGCAAGTATTTCCAGCAGGTACATTTATGAAAGGTTAAAAGCTTCAACATCTTCTTAGTGCGATAGTTCAAAAATAAAAATGGCTTCACCTATGCAAAACCCACGCGAAATTTCAATTTTGAATACCCGTTTATTCTTAATATTGCCAACAAAATCTTATGTGCATTTACCTAAACGTCCAGCCTCAACGTTGATTTGTGAAACACATCTTAATACGAACCGGTGTGGTTGAACTTGACCACATTCTTCATCAGTCAGCACCGCGCAGCTGGACGTAACTACCACTCTTCCAGGTGAGTCTCTCGAAAAACCAAATTAGTTTGCAAATGAGTGTATTTCACTAATCACATTTGCTTTTTGTTAATATATTAAACAGCAGCCTTACCTTAACCGACGGAATCCACATATGTAAGAAAAATTAATTGATTATGACCTACCTTGGCGGCGTCATCGACGATTTCACCCACATCGGACATTGCTGAAACGATAGATAACATATACTAACAAAAGCAGATAAGAGGGCTTTGTCATTATAGCCTGCGTTGATAGATATGTGATTTACGTGGATTTTATCAGAAGCATAAGCATAGAACGTAGACGGTTATGTATTTTCAAAACTGACTTGGGTTAGTCAGAACATTAGGAGTGCCAGATAGTATTTACTGGTAATCGTTACGAAGTTACATGAAGTATTACACTAACACAGCGACCCAAAACTCCCAGCGAAGCTGTAACTGTCTTAGGAATGTTAAAATACCTCTAAGAAGAAACGCCACCTGGAAGCTTCCAAAATTTTCTTTTTTTGAGGTAATGCCTCCTTGGAGGTCGAACTCAAAGCAAGTATTTCCAGCAGGTACATTTATGAAAGGTTAAAAGCTTCAACATCTTCTTAGTGCGATAGTTCAAAAATAAAAATGGCTTCACCTATGCAAAACCCACGCGAAATTTCAATTTTGAATACCCGTTTATTCTTAATATTGCCAACAAAATCTTATGTGCATTTACCTAAACGTCCAGCCTCAACGTTGATTTGTGAAACACATCTTAATACGAACCGGTGTGGTTGAACTTGACCACATTCTTCATCAGTCAGCACCGCGCAGCTGGACGTAACTACCACTCCCAATCTCAACACTCAGTGCCCCACCTAACAGCGCACTGAAGATGTCCCCTCAAATGGTGACGAACCGTTTGCAAATCAATTGCTAAGCTCGGCAAACAGATCAACAGCTTCCTGATCAATTACCAACTAGTGCACCAGAGCTACCAATATTCCAACACATTACCACTCATGCACCATAGTTTCAGTCTGTATTTGAATTGTGTAAAGCTGACATTTTTTGCAAACCCAAAGACTACCAACGCATTACTTCCACTAATTTGGCACATACCGACCCATTTTCATCTCAAATGCTGTTCACTTCTCATCCGAAATACGGCTATCAACTTGCGAATTGTTTTAGCCACCCTTATTAGAGTTTGTTGGGTGCTTCGGTTAAAAATGATGTGCCGTCTGCCAAAGATCAGTTGAAGTGTGATGAAAAGATGTTCATACGAACCTAATTAAGACATTTTCCATCGGTCTGTGGACATTCTCAGCTTTCAGTTGCTGTACTGGGCTTCATACAATACCCCCGGGTCGTTGTGTGACAAAATTATAAAAATATCATCAAATTCGCCATAAGATGCAAAGAGATACATCAAATTATCTAGTTTCACGCCTGGTGGTTTCCGGATGGTGCCATGTAGCATCCTAAGTCAAACTAATTTCCTAGGTTTAATTCTACACACCACCACAAATTGCCTACCCCGAGAGGTGATCCGTGATACTTCACAACACTCCACGGTACAATACGGGCGATCATTGTGACTGAGGGTCGCCGTTATCAGAATGTAAAGAAAAATTGTTTCTCTTTCATCCGGAAACAAAATGACCATTGAGAGGAATGAGAGAGGGAGAAAAGTTAGAACTGTGGCTGTTGCTCTTTTGGCAAACACTTCATCGCCAGCCGAAGTGACATCACCAGTGCCTTAGTGGAGAGCAGAGTGAAGTGTAGTGATGCGGCGGTGGTTGTCGATTGCGTAGTGGTGCGTGCTGCTGGCCGGGTCACACATGCACCACAACTGGACGCAAAACCACTGAATCATCCGTATGCTTTCTGATTCGGTTAGGATTGTAAACAGCAGTGTTGCATAACTATCTAAAATCGCAAAAAGATTCGTTTAACCTCGTAAAATTACATGAAGCAGATACAAATGAACAGGGTGTATTGACTGCACCGGTAAACTATGTGGGTAGTCAGCAGTGTATCCAGATGCAACACTGGTCCACTGTTCTCGATGCACCTCCGACTTTAGTGAGTTACTTATTGCTGTGATGTGTTTGGGTGGAAATTATAGGCAGTCTGGTCTGATATCCCATAATTTGTTTCTGTCAAGGAAATAAAGAGCTCCGATAAAATCCAAAATGGAAGGCACCGATTGACCACGCGAGCATGCTTCCGGGATACATGTTGACGGTAGTTGCAAGCGGACCCATAACTAATTTATTCGCGAAATCATCAACTGAGATGTGTAGACTCAAGGAATTCACTTACCTGGTTTTGCTTTCAGCTCGGCTAAATCTGCCTGAGTCACTTCGTATTGTTTTCGTAAATCCCGCAGTTCGTTTTCAAATATCCTCTTTAATGCTTCGAGTTCTTGCTAGACGGGAAAATTAAATGTGGATTTCAGATGAGTGCACAATCTCAGACGAGAAGAATGGTAGAGCACATGATGAACAGGGGCAGTTAAAACTTGTGAAAAGCAAAAAGTAAACAGTACAAAGCTGGGGCTGTGTTTGTGTCTCTGTTATTGCTTTTCTGAGCGATATTACATGATTTCACCCACCTTCCCCGAACTGGTCAACACAATGGCGCGTGGTAAATGTCCAGCAGTGCTATATGCTAGCTAATGTTACCGTTGATTGAATAATTGATCCTGTCTGATTTCGTTTCGTTTCGGTCAAAAAATGACTGTTTCTGGAGGAGATGAATTTGCATTAAATTCGATTTTCGATCAGAGTGCATAACATTTGGGTGTATAATCCCGATACATCTAGCACAACTGCTACCAGGAGCGATATGTTTCGCACCTGACCCTTGAACTTAACTAGGTTGTACTCTTCACTTTCGGTCCTTTGTTTCTATGTGAATGACCAATAACACTGTGGTTGTCTTGTATATCAAATGGATGTGGATGAAATGAATGCTCACAATGCTGCAAAAATCTCCCGATTGATCTGTTAGAAAGCCATTGGTACGTCAGTATCACGCAGTCATTACCGGCGCCAAATTAGGACGCTCCGGCCTTGTGAGGATTTGGTGCCCCAGAATTCAACCGGCCATCAGACCAGTCTGCCCCTGACGGGGACGCAAGCCGTGCGCGTAGGTAAAGCTGCTCAAAGCTGGTATGTAGTACTGTTCAGGAATAGCTTATCTAGTGTTTCGAATGACTTTTATTCAATGAACTTCTGGGGTAACTGCTGCCGGCACAGCTGGCTGACACAACTATGTTGAACACGCGCTGCAGCCAACCAACTCTTGCTACGCTGCGAAGACATCGGTAATCAAAAGTTTAAAGAAGCTTAATGTCATAAGCTCAGAGAGGTGAATCCTCACCACCACAAAATAGGGCCACCTTTTTAGTTGACGTGTAAACACGGCCCTTTAGCTCCAACGAAATTCGTTTCTGGCGCAAGAAATGACGCAGGTTCGCAAGCGCTGCTCCTAAATTCGTATTCTCACAATAACTTCGTCAACTGCGGTACGATCACTGATTGTGCAACTCTCAAGATACGTAAACCGATCAGAGAAGCACAAGTGGATAGGAAATATTTACACCTTTAGGGTGATAACCGTAGGCCGAAACATGGGAACAGCTCCGATGTCCTGTTTAGAGTATTTTGTGCAAACAATCGTTAATCATTAAAACGATGTCGTACGCATTATCTAAGTCCATTTATGTCTTTAGACGTGATTTACGCTGCCTTGAATCGTGCACTCTATGATAACAAAGTTGGATAAAAAATGACCTTGGGCAGTCCTGACAGGCTTCGCTTGCTCTGAGGGAGCTTTCAGCCAGTTCACCCTACAACCTGGGTGGACCGGAGAATGGAAATACGAAACGCGAGGAGTATTTATGAACTTCAAGGGCATCCCTTTCTGACCAAGAATATACGGAGGCGCCAATTCACCTACCGAGTCAAAGAAAACAGTTATTGTTGTCGGTGTTATTTGTCGTACTGCTCAATTGCTTGAAGCAACTTAATGATCAATGCATCCCCAACCAGGTCTTTATCTTGGTTGTTGCTCTCTGAATTGCGTCTCGTGCCTATTCAAAGCGGATACGAAGACTTCCCTACATTTCTGAACAACGCTGGGGAAAGCTCGTCTGGCTCAGAAGCTCGACGATACCTCAAGTCAAAAGGGCATAACAGTACCATGTCAGCCGATGGGTGATGTAGACTCACAGATCACGGTTTAAAATGAGCAGGATGAATGAGACATAGGTATAGAGGCAGAGAGCTAACTAAATTGCTGTTGAAAATATTCCGCGTAGTGTTCTAGACACTGGTCTTTATCATACATCAGGTTTCCACTATTATCTTGAATTAACTCACAAAAGATCTTTTAGGTCATTTTTGCAGAGTTCTGTTCTTTCGCAGTCGCACTGCCCTCTTCCATTTCTTGAGCTTTGTGGTTCCATCCCACCTCTATCCATGTATAGACGATGTTTGAGCTGCCGTCCAGTCAATCTTTTAGCGGATCTGTACTCTAAACCCAGAGGGACGGAGCAGTTTTGCATCATAGTGATATTGACCTTTCTGAGCTCCAACTGCTTCCAAGTACGCTTTCGAAAACATCACAATCAAGATTTTCGGAGTTACACACAGTCGTGGTTATCTCAGACCATTTAGGATCAAAGTCCTGCGGTGATTTCACCTGTAATGTGCTGTTTGTTAAGCTCTGATATGCTAATCGAACTTATGGCTGCCAGTGATTTCTGCTTGTCAATGCACTGCTCTTCTCTGGGGTTTGCCGGGAAAATTTAATGAAAAGATGCATCTGACCAAAACATGATCTGAATCAACCTGTGTATCCTAAAACGATCGGTAGTAAAGAAGTGAATCGCTCCGTTGACTGCTGACGACGATCGGTCAACTTGGCCTCAAGGATGCTCAGCAGTAAGGAGACACCAGGTGGCGCAACGTTGCCCCCTGCGTCTACACCCAATATCTCTGAAAACACTGCTCATCATTAGCACTGGGTTCTGTGTCCGAACTAAAAAGACCACTAAAACGGCATGTATATTAAATGAAAATTGCAGGTAAAATCTAGTCAGGGTAGTTCAAAGCGCCTTCTCTACTTGCAAATTGTTGAACCGGTTTGCAGTTATTCGTCATTAATATTAAATATTCACACAACGTTAAATAAAATTCAGGAGGGCGCTTGAGGATGCCGAGTTTCTGAAAACTTCATGTCCGGGCGCTCGTAACCAATGTGTTTGTTTCTAAGCCAATAACTGCACACTCCAGGACGCTTTCCTCTGACCACTAAGGCACGCCCAAGATTATTGTAGTTCACCGTAACTAAGATTAACACGTAAGTAAGGACACGGGTGTATTGTGTACACGCGGCCAAACTGGTCCGCTTTCGTGGCGGGGAAGCAAACAACTGAGTCACATAGCGAATATACACTCATTTGCAAACTAATTTGGCTTCTCAAGAGACTCACCTGGAACCCAGCTGAATCTCTCGTTTGTGATGTTCTCAGGTTGTGCAATTTGGTTTCAAGTAGAACATAAGGTTGACAGAAACCCCGGGACTGCGCCTACCTGATGAGCCCCAAAAAGGGCGAAACCGGTCGTGGGCTGTCGACGGATTTTCAGCAACCTTATGCGTAGTACATTACAAAGATAAACTGAGTAATATATCCAACCCACAGCGCTCACGCGAGTCAATCAATCGGACACGCATCCAATGAGCACTCAAGTCACACGCCAGATCGGTGGTGGAACGACGAACGGACACGCACAAGTGCAAGCTCTCTGACACACCGAAGCAGCTACTACAGTCCTCCACCGCTAGATTTAGCTAAAGCTTGCTTGATAACGTTCGACCGGCCTTGACTCCCTAGCCGACCGGAACAGACACCTTGAGACATCTGTGGTTGTTTCCAAACTCTCCTGCTTCAGTTCGGAGTCCACCTGCACTGTCGGCTCCAGTATTTGTTCCGCATCTGGTCCACGCTTCCTAGTTCTGATATGGTCTAAATGACGGCGTATTATCCTCCCGTCTCCTAACAGCATGTCAATAAGTTTACGGTTTGTCGACTTCACACATCCACGCAACCCATTCGTTATCTGAAGCCTGAAGTTTGACGTAAACCTCCTCGCCATCTCGTAATGTGCGAGGTCGGGCGTGTTGATCTGCGCTTTACCTCGTGGAGCGCTGCTGTTGTTTGACCTTAAGCGCCAAATCCGGCCGTAACAGATCCAAACGTGTTCGAAGTCTTCGTCCCATTAGCAATTCGCAGGGAGCCTGGCACGTAGTAGTGTGCGGCGTAATTCTGTACTGCAGCAAAAACTTGTCCAACCGAGTTTGTAGGAGACCTGGGCTTCGTTTCCTCAATCCATTCTTTACCGTTGCCACCGCGCGTTCCGCCAGACCGTTAGAAGCGGGATGGTATGGTGCTGTTAGAACATGCTCAATCCCGTTGGCACTCAGAAACTGCTGAAATTCCGCACTGCTAGGAGCCATGCCGTTATCAGAAACAATTGTATCCGGTACACCATGCAATGCAAAAATGCTGTGAAGTATAGACATGGTCGACGCACTAGATACAGTTCTAGTGGACACCGCTCCTATCCACTTGGAATATGCATCGACAATCACCAGGATCATATAACCTTCAACAGGGCCAAAATAATCCACGTGTATGCGGCTCCACGGTCATGACCGCCACTGCCATGGTGATATGGGCGCTGCTGAGGGCAAAGCCCTACTTTGCTGACACGCTTCACACCTTTGCACGATCATTTCTACATCGTGATCGATACCAGGCCACCAGACATAGTGTCTGGCGAAAGCTTTCATTCGCGTGTTACCCAGATGGCCTGAATGTAATTCCCACGGAATTCTCACTCTTGCTCCCCGTAGTAAACATCCATCCTCTACACTTAGCTCCGACGATCGTTCATAGAATCTACTTCCAACATTCTCCGGCCACCCGCATGAAGTGAAACGAAGCATTCGTGAGAGTTCTGGATCCTTTCTTGTTTCTACTCGTATTTCCGCAGCAGTGATAGGCAAATCATCAACACAATTCATTAAATTTACCAGGTCGGCTGGTTTCGCTGTGTGCAATGGTACATCTCGTAATGGTAGACGACTTAGGGCATCCGCCGTGAGATTCCCTTGTCCAGGAGCGTACCGCAAATGATACCGATAGCATGCCAGTTATAAAGCCCAACGTTGCATTCTAGGCGACGTCATTTGAGTTATTGGTTTATTTTCTCCGAGAATTCCAAGTAGAGGCTTGTGGTCCGTAAGTATGTCGAACGTTTGTCCGTGTTACTCCAAACAGAATCGCCAATGCCTCCTTATCGATTTGTGCGTAATTCCTCTCATTAGGTGACAAAGATCGTCAAGCGTAAGCAACTGGTTTGAGAATTCCCGATTTATCCTTCTGCGATAACACGGCTCCAACACCATATGGTGAAGCATCACGAGCGAGAACAATGGGCTGTGTTGAATCGAAATGAGTAAGCACCAGAGGACCGTAAGGGCACGTTTCACCTGTTGAAACGCCTTCTCTTGTTCATGATTCCAAATCCAGCTAACTCCCTGACGTAGCAAGTAATTCAGTGGGTGAAAAAGTGTGGCGGCTTGCGGAATAAGCCATGCCCAAGAAAGATCTTAGTTCATGTTTATTCCTTGGTTGCGGTGCCTCTACTCTTGGACGTATTTTCTCGACTAGAGGGGCCAAACCCTCTGCACTGATGCTGAAACCCAAAAAGTCCACTTGATCCACTAGGAAGTCACACTTCTCTTTCTTTACTCGTAGTCCACACTCCTTCAAACGATCAAGTATCAGTTTCAACGACTTTAAGTGCTCTTCCATGGTACACCCGGTTATCAGAATACCGTCTAGATAGACGAACGTTTTAGGTATCCCAGCGATGACGTTTTCAATTGTGCGTTGAAATATAGATGGAGCGGAATGGATTCCAAAAGGAAGATGGATAAACATAAACAGACCTCTATGAGTACTGATGGTTGTAACGGGTTTCATCTCCTTCGTTAACTCCAGTTGCTTGTGAGCATGAGCTAGATATAGTTTTCAGAAATATTCGCTCTCAACGATTTGTGCATAGACGTCTTCGATTTTAGGTAATGGGTAATGTTCTGGGGGTGTGCTGGCATTGACCATGGTTTTATATTCACCGCAAATTTTAACTGTGCCATCCGGTTTCATTATTGGCACAATTGGTGAAGCCCACTCCGAGAACTCTGTGCTTTGAATTATTCCTTCCCGTTACAAACGTTTAGGTTCTTCTTC